CAAAGATCACTGGTGAAAATTTCACCGGAGAAATTTTTTCATTTCACAAGGAACTGTGTACTTAGCTTAACATGTAAATAGAACACTTAGAAAATGATCGCTAAATCAAGTTATACGACGTAGACTCCTCACTGTATGTATTAGCCGATGAAAGAAAATATTGTTCTAAATTTTTTACTTTTTCATTTGAACTGAAAAAAGTAGGACAAACCTAGTTTTTCACGGAAATAATTCATTAAACTAATTATTATATTTCGTTTATTCAATTGCGACGGTTGCATTTAAGACTAATTTTGAATCTAAATGCAACGAAAAATTAAAAATGCAGATGCTCATAAATGACTACATTAAAATTTATTTGTGTTACTTTGACATAGAAATTTAATTAAATGCACTGATTTGTTAGTATCAGTATTCGCTATTTTATAAATTTGTTGTTGGAATAACTGGTTGATGAAGTAAGAAAAACGGTTTTAGATTTTTTTTCAAACAGTATTCATCTGAACAAGAGAAAATTTCGGTTAAAAAAAAATAGGTTTTTACAAAATATATTGACTGAACACAATTGATTGAAATGTTTATTTTTCGAATTGATGATTTTATGCAAAAAAGTATAGATAACTTTACAGAATTAAGCACTTATTCGATTGAATTGAAACATTTGGGTACCAAATTTAAATCTTGACTTATAATTGCCCGGTATTGTAGACTGCATTCACAACATTTCTTTAAAAGTTAATTTTGAAACCACGTCAGCATGAACATTTTGTGCTGTGAAATAAATTTCAATTCGATTTTTTAAAACAATCAATCCTCCAGTGTAGTCATATGCTGGTTTTCTCCCAGAATAATTGAACAGATAAATTTCATAATAACCTTCTTCGATTGCAACTGGTTCAGGCAGAACAATGTGTGTTTCATCATTCGTTGAATTTAGTAGGTATTCTCGAAAATCAAACAAATTTGTTTTACTTTTGGTATCAAAGTGTATGTGCCTCATTTTGTATCGTAGCACATTTTCACGAAAATTATGTGATTGCTTCAGTTTAATATAGAAATCAGTTAGTAGAAGTTTTCTTCTTCTCAAGGAGTTATTAGAATTAATGGAGAATCTAGTAATACACATGGCGTGCGCTGGCACAACTATTTCATCCGTCCGTATGCGAACGGTGCAGTGCGACTGCTTCTTCTTCTTAACTAACACATCTATACATATAAGTCTCCATATTGGTTATAATGTTCACAAATGGCACGCAATACACTGTATACATTTTCAATATGGTCGCGCCCATTGTGTACGACAGTGTGAAGAAGAAGAAGCAGTATTATAAGAAACTGTGTATGGGTTTACATAGGGATGATTTCATCAACGTAGTTCAATCTCCGATCACATATCACTATGCCCTTTTCCTCTATAGCTGTTGATGGAACTTCATTAGTTGTTGTCTTCGGAATAGTAGTTTTATTCGATGCAATCCATTGAATAGTGCTCTCTAGCTCTTTTGCAGTGAAAAAGCCATTATATGTGGCGATATGCTGACTAAGTTGCTCTATGGTTAGCTTATGAAACGGGATTTGATTGAATAATTTCCTTAGTTGAGCCCGCAAATTTGTTGAATTTACTTTTAAATCGTTTCTCTCACACTCGGTTTTCGCCCATTTCATGCAGCCGAATACTATTTCCGAGGCACAACATCTCTTCCGAACTAATTGCAATATTTTGGCCATTGTTTTGTGGTCGCACTCGAGGAAACTATCCGATTTAATTACTTCTATTGGATTTTCTTTGATTTTTTCGCTCACAAAATGACACCAGATCTTTTTGTTCAAGAAAACTGGCGACTGCATAGCCCCAGCACACGTCACTATTGGTCAATGTGTTCTGTAGAATGATCTCGCATATTTTCAATCCTTGGTCCACTTCGTACTTTTTGCACAGATTCATCACATCGGCGATGTTCTTGGATGTCAATCGAACTGTGCCCATGTAGAAGAATTATAAAAACTCCTTGAACACCTCGGCCGATGCATCGAAAATTGGTATATCGCCCGTCTCCGGCAAGGAACCATAGAACATCGTATCAAACACGAGACTTAGGATCGACAAAATACTTTTATGAGCTGGCACTCTTTCCGGATGATCCGTATCGACACCGAATCCAAAGTGAACGTCAGCTGTTCTCGAATTCAAATACAATTTTTCAGTTTTATGGGCTGGTCCATTTTCATGCTCCAACACTCGTTCGTCCATTTTAGGTGATTTGTCAAAACTTTGAACTGATTGCAATTTGAAAAATATGGATCAATCTGGAAATAAAACAGAACACAATCTTGATAAAACATTTTTTCGACAAATCAATTGTAATAAATACATACACAAAATAGGATGGATTTGAATTTCTTTCCAATGAATTTCTCTCGCCAATGAAATAATTTCTGCTTCAAAATGTCTGGACTATGTTTAACAGGAATGTAATTTTTATTTGTTAAAATATGTTTTTGCTCGATACCAGAAGAAGAACTAATCGGTTTTCTTCGCAAATTGGTATTGTTAACCGTTACAAATGAACTGAATAAAATGAAAACACAACAGTCATTTGTTGACAGATCATTAGGAAATTATGGTTTGCTAATGATCTTATCCTCTAAATGTTTGTTACTTGTTGAAAATATATACACAATACGCATTCATATATGAGATATCACAATGTACATATCTCAACGTGAGCAGCCTGATAAAAAGTGCCACAGCAAATCAACGTCGCATAGAAAGAGAAGGTCAGTTTGAACTGTTTTTTTTTTTGCATGTGTGTTTTCAAAAGAACTTCATACGAAAGCAGTACGATCTCTACATATGCATTTTTCAATGCGTGTTGAGTATACGGATATACTCACACATTCACATGCACATCAATGCACGAAATCGCATACATATTTCAATACATACTTGGAGGTATACAACAATGAAAAAAAAACATCTGTTCATGATTGCTGAAATACCTTCGTTCATATTTGAACCATTGAGAGTAAAAGAAAAACTTTAGCAAAGTGCGAAGGAACAGGAGCTTGAAAATAGAAACGAAATAAAGTGCCTTGAGTGTGAAGGATTTACGTGTCACAAACAGTCCGTTCAGATCAAAGTTTTTTTTTTCCGAAGGTTCTCATTGTTATTATTTAACAGATTTTCATTTTGAAAACAGCGAATTGAATCAGTTTAGTTCGATAATTATCGATTTGATTCGAAATGAATTGATCACCTTTGATTTGCAAACAATCTCAATATTTTGGTATATAATTTCCAACATTCTATGATTATGACACCAAAAATTCCATCGTTTGAGCACCAAATTTCAATTGAAAACTACAATTTTCTTAAAATACCAACTTAAACGTAGAAAATATTGAGGTGCAATTAATAAATGAACAATTTTTCTTGACATTTTTTCATTCTTTATTTATTTGAATGAGAAAGATTTTTTTTTTCTTCATAAAATTGATTTCAAAACTTGTATAAAGAAAATATTCAATTCAATCATAGCTTTTGCACTTAAAACTAAGGCTAATAATAAGATGAAATTCAGCCTATTCGAAAGAGTCATTTTCAATCAAAAATCAAACCACAAAACCAAAATGCACCACATTTCTTATTCGGGAATTTTAAAAATAAGTTTGGAAATAAAATCATTGCAATGAACCGAACTATATTCGCTATTTTTAAACACTATTTTATAACCACCTTCCAAATAAAACAACGTTCCTTCATTGTTGTCATATGCACGGCATATCTCCGGTCCAATACACTCCATTCCAAGAACAATTTTACAAAAATTGTCATTCATTGGAAGTGGTGCGGGCAAAATAATGTGAATTTCGTCATTCGTTGTTGAAATTGTTAGGTTCTGATGGACACAGTCCTGTGAACTGCCCATTACCTTGTAAAGTGGTATAGGAAAAAGCGAACCAGGCATATTGATATGTGACCGACGGTTGGATTATGATAGATATGTATTGGTAGGTGGTTCTTCTTAAAGTCGATTCCAGTGTGGATTTCATAAGAAAAAAATTCTAGTTTCTGTATCAAGCTAAAAAGAGCATATCATTGTACTGGAAAAAAGATAGTACAAGAAGTATGTGATCTGTAGGATGATCTCGCATATTTTCAATCCTTGGTCCGCTCGTATTTTTTGCACTGGATTAATAAAGAGTGCCATAGCAAATCAACATAGAAAGAAAAAGTCAGTTTGAGCTGTATTTTTGTATGTGTGTTTTCAAGAAAACTTCATGCATCAAACGTCGAAAAATGCAACTTTCTTAAAATAACCATTTATCCGGAGAAAATATTAAGGTGTAGTTAAGAAAAGTACAATTTTTTACATTTTTTTATTCCTTATTTATTCGAAAACTTATATATAAATATAAACGGCTTTTTTTCGTGAAATTTATTTGAAAACTTGTCTAATGAAGAAAATGGTTAATTCAATCATAGTTTCTGAATTTAAGACTTATGCTATTAATCAAAAGATAAAATTCATCCTGTTTGAATGAGTCATTTTCAAACAAAAACCAAAATGCACCATATTTCTTAATCGGGAATCTTGAAAATAAGTTTGGAAACAAAATCATAGGTTATGTAATCCGAAACATTCTTGTTCGTATTAAACATTATTTTACAACCACCTTCCAAATAAAATGTTCTTTCATTGTTGTCATATGCACTGCAAATGTCAGGTCCATCACAACTTATATGAAGTTGAATGTAACAACTATCTCCAATTAGAACTGGTGTAGGCAAAACAATGTGGATTTCATCATTCGTTGTTGGAATTGTAAGTTTCTGGAGGACACGGTCCTGTGAACTGCTCCTTACCTCGTACCCTATCTTTTTTCGAGTACAATGAGATGCTCTTTTTAGCTTGATACAGAAACCAGTTAGAAGAAGTTTTTTTCTATAAAATCCACACAGGAATATACACTCAGAAAGACCACCTAACAATACATATTTATCATCATCCAACCATCGATCACATATTATTATGCCTGGTTCGCTTTTTTCTATACTACTTGTCTCTGAAACAATCACTTTGTTCGTTGCAATCTGTTGAATATTGTGCTCAAGCTCATTCGCGGTGAAAAAGCCTTTATATGTGGCGATAAACTGGATGAATTGTTCAATGGTCATTTTACAAAACGGAATTTGATTGAACCATTCACCAAACTGCGCTCTCAAATTCGCCGAATTCGTTTCTAGATTGTTTCTCTCACACAGCGCCTTGGCCCATTCCATGCATCCGAATACTATTTCCGATGCACAACATTTTGATGACACAAACTCCAGTATTTTGGTCATTGTTTTGTGATCGCACTCGAGGAAACTGTCCGATTTAACTACTTCAGTGAGATTTTCCTTGATTTTCTGCTCACAAAATGACACCAGATTCTCTTGTTCGAGAAAACTGGCGACCGCGTAGCCCCAACACACATCATTATTGGTCAATGTGTTCTGTAGAATGATCTCGCATATTTTCAATCCTTGGTCCACTTCGTACTTTTTGCACAGATTCATCACATCGGCGATGTTCTTGGATGTTAATCGAACCGTGCCCATGTAGAAGAATTGTAAAAACTCCTTGAACACCTCGGTCGACGCATCGAAAATCGAACAGCATTGTTTGTGATAGCTTCGAACATATGTTAGTATTTGTGTTACTAGCCGACAGATGGTCAGTTTTTCAATCATTTAAACTAACAAATAGGATCAATTGACACAGAAAAGAGACAAATAAATTTCCGAGCAAAAGTTACACAGCAAATTTATTTACGGGAAATTGTTATAAAACAGGAATTAAATCTCTTTTGGATGTTTTACGAGAAAAAAAAATGACTGATTTCATTTGAAAAATTGAAATGAAACTATTTTTTAAAAGAATATTATCCAATGATTGAATCGCAAAATTTTGATCCAAAATCATCGATTGGCTGAGGAAAAAAGCACTAGCTTGCTGTTGATGATGGAGATGAAGTTCAGAAAATAAAATATAATAATGAGTTGTGATTTCTCAACCGAAAAATGCAGAAAAAACGTTATGATACAAACATTTCTTTAACTGTTAGTATTTTTTCTTCTTCTCCGGATGTTCCTTCTGTTGTTTTTTGCGATTTGCTTTCGCAGCGCCTTAATTGCAATCCGATCTTTGTCATCAGTATTTTTATATTCAAATGTTTCTAGGTCGGAGCATCTAAATACAAAATCAATGTATATTTTTCGCAACGCGTGGTCGGCTCCAGTTAATCGGCTAAAGTCCACTGTCGGATGTGATTCGGTACTCGGTGATGAGTTTTAAGCCAGCTGTATTAGAGCTAATGACTGGGATACAATCATATTATATCAGTTATTTCCAATTAATTTCTTAAAATAGCTTCCTCGGTGCTCACTTTATCAGAGCATATCTTTAATATTTTTTAAACGTTAATACATATACGGATGGCTTCCAATGAAATTGATAGAAAATAAAACAACACCATTCAATCCTAAATTTATTTATTCGACCGTATATGACGAATTTTAAGAGCGTAAATCAGTATTTTTGAACATTTTTTAAGCTTGCTGCATCGACTCTCACGGTTTTTAAGCTTTCATCATCGTTATGTCGACCTTCATCAGCTTTCAGTGCAGTCAAATACATTTTCGAAAGCGCTTTTTCTAATTGATCACATGTTGGACGATCCTCTGGATTTTCCTCCCAACAAGACATCATAAGTTTATACCTAGTTGCAAACATTGAAATTATTATCATTTGACGTGTTCGTAACGAATTCTTAGCTCATGAAATGTACGGTTCGATTCTTACATTTCTTTCGTAGCCTTTTTTTGGTTTTCGTAATCGGAGGCCATATTTCAAGTTGTCTAATGGGACGTAATCTGGATCGTTTCCTTCTGAAAATAGTTCCCACAGCACAACACCAAACGACCAAACATCCGACTTTACACTGAATTTCGGTTCATTTTCTTCTGGAAATGATTCAATAGCCATCCATGGGATTGGATCAAGACCCTGCGAATAAAAAACAAACCTATCTGAATAGTGATCACCCAGTTAATATTAGATGATGAACAATTGTAGAGCGCCACTCGTCAATGACGAAGAAAATTTGTTATTTTTTTTTTTAATAAAATGAATTACACGTGAAATTAGATCTGCAAACACGTTTTGTTGTTTGTAATATGATTTGTCGCAATCATTTCATAATATTTCGTTATCATTATGTAAAAACAAGCTTCAATTCAAGAAATAATTTCTTTTGTTTTTTTTTCTGCTTTATAATGATTTTTCCCATTTTTTTAGCATTAATGCATATCGAATGGATTTGAGCGCGAAACAAAGAGAAACGTTACACTCATAGCTCACAAATACATAGATCGGAGATTGAGATGTGTCTTATTCTTTGTACAAAATGTTGCCGTTATCACAGGTTGCCGTTATCACTACGTAAACTATCAAATTATTTGCAAACTAAAGTGCGTCCAAATATTGAGCACCAGAGTAGACGCACGTTCGTAGTGCAAGGAGCACGGTAGTTTGCGATATTATAACCGTGAATCTCTGATAGACAGTTCCAATTCAAAGATATTATTTATTTGTTCACATTCTTACCCATGATGTTTTCTTATAATATTCACATCCAATCAGTTGCCGTGACAGACCGAAATCACCAATTTTCACCACTTTATTTTCACAAAGCAAGATATTTCGAACAGCTAGATCACGGTGTATGATGGGAGGATCATTTGAAGCCAAAAACTGTAATCCTTTTGCCACTTGGGCGGACCAATTGAGTAGATCCAATGTTGTATATGGAAAATTGGGTGTTTGAAGATAACCAAATGATGCGTCGGAGGGATTTGCTGCAAAAAGTAAATTTTCGAACAAATTTATCTTATTATTTACCAACAAAAAAAACTTATCCACTTACCTTCTTCTCCACGCCCATAATACGCTCGTTGTGGTTTTTGATTTATGTTTGAAGATTGTCTATTTTTCTTCAAGAAACTTTTGAGATCACCATATGGGCAGAATTCATAAATGACTTTGATTTCACCTGATGAAAACCAAAGATTTAATTGCTTCAATGGTTTCGATTTTCATATATGTTCAAAGTGTGAACCTACCTTTGAGCGGGTTCTTAATGACTGCACCAATAAAACGAACCACATTGGAATGTTTGGGCAAACGTTTTACAATATTTATCTCTGCCAATAGTTCACTTGTTCCCTATTCAATTGATATCAAAGATGTGTCATCAATAATTTTAAACGAACACCCACCAAAACATACTGAGAAACTGCCGCTGCAGGATTTAATCCTTTTGATAGCTACTGTTTTCTTTTCAAAACATGGAATCATCGGCAAAAGTTCTCCCTTATATACATCAGTCAAGTGACCACGACCGATTAATTTTCCGATCCGGAGACGATTGTGAATCTGACATACGATATAAACGAGATATATTGGAAGCAGCAACATCGTAGCCAAAATAATGTAAAGCAACACTAAAAACCATACAGACATTGATATTAGTTGTAATATCTCGAATTTTGTGAAGAAATATAAAACCAGTTTCATTCAATCGTAGTTTTTCCGTTCATTCAACTAAGTTGCATTCAAACTTTTGCCATTTTCATCGTTTAGAATTTTATTTGTTTGCGATTCGAAGTACAAATTCAGATAATTACCTCGATCAGCTGCAAGGTAATCTGGTGTCTTTTCAGATATGTTCTTAGTATTGATGATGGCTCCATTTTCAATGAGCAGTTGAGTGACATTCTTATGACCTATAATTGGAGATGGGATCAAAGATAAAAGGATGTGTGAGACACATTTAGAAAATTATCATGTTTTAGAAAGAATTCAATCAATTACCTCGATATGCAGCCTCCATCAGTGTTGTCTCTCCATATATGTTTCTACTATTGATATCGGCACGGTGTTCGATGAGAAATTTAACAAGTTCCACATGTCCTGAATTGCAAAAGGAACAAAAATGAAGAGATTCAATCTGCACAAAGAGATTAGCGATTTAACGTGAGACTTTTGACAATTACCTTCTTTAGCTGCAAGATAAATTGGTGTCCTTTCATATATGTCTTTAGCATCGATGATGGCTCCATTTTCAATGAGCAGTTGACTGACATTCAAATGACCTGAATTGATGGGATCAAAGATTGTGTGAAATACATTTAGACAATTATCATGTCTTAGAAAGAATTCAGACAATTACCCCGTTTTGCAGCCTTATGAAGTGCTGTCTTTCCATTTATGGTTTTATCATTGACTTCGGCACCATGTTCGATGAGAAATTTAACAATTTCCACATGACCTGGATTGTGAATGGATTGAAATCAATAGATTGTATGAGATTCATTTAAAAAATTATCTTGTGAAAGATTTCGGACAATTACCTTCTCCAGCTGCCCAGTGCAATGGTGACTTGTTGTATTTGTCTCTAGCTTCGATGTCAGCTTTATTAGTAATGAGCATTCGAACGATGTTCACATCTCCTAAAAATTGCAAACGGATCAAAATTTGAAACTATTGCTTGCGATTTGAAGCACAAATTCGAATAATTACCTTGTCCAGCTGCCCAGTGTAGTGGTGTCTTTCCAAAATTATCCTTGTTATTGACATTGGCTTTATTATCAATAAGCACTTGAGTAACATTTAAATGTCCTGAATTAGAAAAGAATTAAAGTCAAAATATTGTTTGCAGAGTGAAGAAAGAGTTCAATTACTATTCTGCATTGCATTGGCAATCGGTATAGAATTATTGCCATTTAAAATGTTCGGACTAAGACTATCATCAATCAAAAGTTTTACCATATTCACATAGCCTTAGAAAAAAGTATGGGTTTAATGACACTTCAAAATATTTCGGAAAAATTCGTTACCCATTTTAGCAGCTATATGCAATGGAGTTTCCTCATTGTCAAATTGAATACTCATATTCATTCTTCCACTGATCAAAGATCTCACTTTTGGCACATCATCTAAAATTTGGAAATAACGGAGTAAAATTGAAAGGTCAAATTTTTTAGGTCTATTTTTAGGTTTGGAAGACACACAAAATCAGAATGTTTTTTCATATATTTTCGCTAAAATCATGGCAAGTATTCCGCCTTTGAATTTTGAGCAACAAAAAAAAATGATAAGAAAATTCTTTTCATCCATGCTGACGACATCTCAATACAAAATAAATTATGGGTACTAGTGACACCACGAAATGGCGTTTTATTTTGTATTAAAATTTCGGTAGATCATGAGTTCTTCGTAATTTTTGTCAAAACATGTCATCTTCGTCATTTTCAAGTTAATTTTCTCAGTCAAACTGTATGCAAGGATTCATTACACAGAAACATACCCTGTTCGATAGCCTCTAGAAGTTCATTCGTTTGGCTTTTCGACATTGGGAATCTAGAAAAAATGCTAAAAATGATGAATACTGCTCCGAATTTCTAAAAGAATCTTACACTTTATCTCGGTTACCCAGCGAAATAGTCGAATTTCCTGTTACGTCTTGTGTAGTGAACGCAGTAACAAGCATTGCGATCACAAATAATGTGTTCATCTTCATTTCTTTTTAAAAAAAAATTCGTAAAGAAATAACGATGCAAGAACGGTGTGTTTAAATTGGCAATTTATTTATGAAAAAATTAAAACGCAACAAAGGTCGAGAGCAAAATTATTATTTTTGTTTAAGTATGCTGTTTGTTTAACTATAATCTGATTATTTGGAACAAGTCCGGATGTGTACTGAAGTAAATTTATTTCAAAACTGAAATGAAGTATTCGTATACAAAAGTGTTTCGGGTTTAATTCATAATCGCCATTCGCGTTATCAATCCATTTGTGTGTGCACTCATGATGAGTTCTGGTGTAACGCACTAAGACTTAATTTGTGTTTTTTTCCATTTGTGTTGCTTTTATTAAAACGAAAACGGGCAGCGTTTTGCTTTCAGATTCGTCACCAGTTGATGATAACTTCCGACCTTTTAAACTTTATTCTTTACTCTTCTTTTCATCCATGTTTGTAGAATTTTGATATCATTTCATGGCCTACGCAGCATTCTCTAATCTCCCCATGATTACGGAGAGCGACCATAAGTCGTATGAAATTGATGTTCAGAAAAGAAGAAGTAGAAGTATTCATTGCATTCATTTACATTGGAATAATGGAGATGGTGCTCATGTTTCGATCAAAAAACTGTTACTGCCGCTTAGGCATTAATCCATGTTTTATATTCGTATGACATTTTTTCAAGATGTCCTGGAAGACACATCACTGAGACTCTTCGAATTATAGTCATTTTTCTTTCTTTCAACACGGTTTTCATTGCAAAAATTGATTTTTTCTCAAACAAATCCGATGAGGGTGAATGCACTTCAGTTGATGCAAAATCTGTTGGAAATTCCAATTAAGCGATTAAAAGAAAACGTCAAATCATTGTAATGTCAGCAAACATTGGAGTCTTAAATCAACACCCGATGCACTTGATTCCATTTAATGTACAATATTCAGAGCATTGAGTCGGTCTTTTGACGTTGTGAACCAACTAAGGCATAACGCAAAGATGCACTCGCTTCACGTTCGAAATATTGTATAAAAAATAATGGATTTGAATCACAATCGCCGTATACTTGTTTGAAGCATTTCTTCTGGTCTTTTTTGTGCTTTTGTACACGTCATTGTAGCTCACTGTGAACTGACCTACAATGTAAACAACTTTAAATCTCTCACTTTTTTTAACAACGCTAAATAATGATAATTCATAATTGTGAACTGCGCAGCTGAATTGCCATTGGCGCGTCTAACTCATATGAAACCAACACAAGCAAAGAATTTCTTATCATCTTTTATTCCAATAACAATTTTCTTTTAAAAAATAGTCTTTCGAATTGATATTTGAAACTATTGTCTTATGACTCATTCGATGATTATCACGCGCCATGCCGTGCTAAAATCTCTGTGACTCTCGTGTGACCTGAAAAGGGAAAAATAAAACATTTTCATGAATAGATTTAAAATTTTTTAATGCGTTTGTTTTGGTGGTTCAGTGAACCAGGTTCACCAAATGAATCAGAGTGTTTTGGATGTCTGATAACAGTGATTTTTACACGCACATCAATCATCATCAATCGGTCTGACATGATTTTTCAACCGTTAACAGATACTTACGTCTGGCTGTAAATAAGAATGACTAATAAACCCAAGAAATTATCAAGTTTCAAGTCTTAAATTCGAAAAATAGAAGAAAATGATTCCAGTTTTTGTGGCCTTTTACAATGAAAACACAAAAAAGTAGGAAAAAAGTTAAGAATGTGGTTTCTATTTATTCATTACAACTTACGTACAAATGATTGTTTTTACGATCTAACCTGAGTTATAGATGTAATCTGAATTAATACTTGGGAAAATTATGATCTTTAAATTATTGACTTTTAGTCGATTTTTTCTTAGATTGGTTTTGAGTTCAGTAAAAATGTACATATATACCCTAATCAAAATATAATTTTTGGGATGGACCATTTTTGCTCTTTTTCAAAAACAAGACACGATATAAAATCGCCTTCAAACGTGACTTTTACATCATTTTCCAATAGAACCTCATCTTTGAGTTGCTTTTTTATATAAAAATCATCTTCATCTTCGATTTTTACTTCAATTTTATATTTTTCGTTAGCTTCGATATAAATCGCTTTACGTAAAATACACTTTAAAATGGCACTTCGTCCAAGAATCCATGCATCACCCTTAAATATTAATTTTTTATCTTGAGAATGTATTTGATATGCATAATGAGAAGCCAAACGAGAAACATCCTTTAAATTCACATGAAACTCTTTCAGAAGAACTGGTTTGTTTGAAATAAACGATGTGGTCATGTTGGAAAATTTTGTAACTTCACCATTTGAATCATCATCATTCAATTGTCGATCACATATTGGTAAATACATTCTATTGAAAGGATTTGCTTTTCTATACGGAATTTGTTTTTCAATAAGTGATTCAAGTTCTTCAATGGAAAAAAATCCACGGTATGTGGCAACAAATAAATGGAATTCTTCCGAATCCAATCTATCAAAAGGAATTTGGTCATATAAATCACCTAGTTGTGTTCGTAGATTTTGTGAATTTACATCTAAATTATTTCGCAAACATTCGGCTTTGGCCCATTCCATGTATGCAACCACAATATATATTCCAGGACCGAAGATTTCCTTGCACATTTTGGATAGTATTTTAGTGAACAGATTTTTATCACAGTCCAAAATACTTTGGGTTTTCAATACCTCATCGTAATGATTTTCAATGATGTCTTCACAATATTCGGTTAAATGCTCGAGTTCAAGGTGTAAGGCAACAGCATAGCCCCAACAAATGTCATCATATGATAATGATTTCTCCATTGAAGCTTCACATGCTGCTAAACCATCGGTGACTTCGTATTTTTTGCAAAGGTTCATCACTTCAACGATGTGTTTGGACGTCAATTGGACTTGATCCATGTAAAAATGTTGCAAAAACACTTTGAAGGCTGCCGCGGATGCATCGACAATCGGAATATCGTCCTTCTCTGGCAGTGAACCGTAGAACATCGTATCGAACACTGGGCTTCTGATTGACAGAATGTTTTTGTGCGCTGGTACTTTCTCCGGATGATCGCTGTCCAAGTCGAATACAAAGTGAACGTCCGCTGTCCGTGAATCCAAATACAATTTTTGACATGTTTGTTGCACTTGATCGTTTTTGTGCACAAAACTGGTGTCGCTTAGCTCAAATTTGGATTCCTTCAGAAGTGACATTTTGAGTGTGTTGAATCTACAACAAGAAAATGTAAAGTTTGGAGTGAAAAAAATGTCATAAAATTCAATGCGATTCAATTGAACGATGATAGCATAAAACATTAAAAATAATCTCATTTACATCAAAATCAATCGACAAATCCGGCCGTGAAATCATCAGCAAATCTGGTTCGTTTGGCAAGAACAATATTGTAAAAATTAACACAAATATATCCAATAGCGAACAATCCAATTTTTTTTATGAACACTTTGAATCAAACAACGAAAATTGCAAACCAGCATGACGTTTGGCACACTGTTTTTAATTTGCACTGTCAACAGAATGCGTTTTTACGATTGGAGTTCGTGGTGAGTCCAAAGTGATGACAGTTCGGGCATTCATATACACTTGACTGAATGTTACTTTATTCACCACTCATTTGAAATCTCATTCAAACCACGGTCAATTCCGTGATCATTTTATTTCGAAAAAAAGTCGGTAAAAAACGACCAATAAATTGAAAAAAAATATTTTTTTAATTTTTTTCACACTTTTCAAGTGATTCTCTTTATGGTTAGAGACATTACGCATTTCATACAATTTGGAACAATTTATTTTCTTCGATAGCATAGCTTTAGGCTACTTTCCATTCATCTCGACTTGAATTGCAACCGTGTGCAAAGAGAAAAAGAACAATTTTTATATTTCTGTTCATTTGTGGAAAAAAGGTAAATGATTGTGTAAAAGATCAGCATGTCTATGGGTGATATTGAACCAATGGTTTATGTTTCACCGACTTTATATTGGAAAATGTGGAGTATGTTTTCAAGCAGTGAACAAATCTTGAAATAGATTATGCATTTGAACATATACACAGTATTTTTTTTTTGACAAAGTTTGACAAGACCAACAATTTTTACTAAGATCATAAAAATATAGAAAAGAAAAACGAAAATTTCCACAGATCAAAAAAGAAAATCAACTTCATTACATTTTGCTGTGTGTTCACTGTTCATGCATATATGTGAAATTTCGAACATTCACTTTTCCATTGCAAAAAAGGATGTGAAAGATGCGTTGTGCCCCATTTTTGTTGAGGTGAGAACCAATCAAAATGATTTGATATCTGTTTTTTGCAATTTTTTTTGTTTGCCTTATTTGCAAACGATTGATCTTTCATATTTGTTTTCTTCTCCTTGCGTGTCTTCACATTCTTCGTTCTATTGTTTTGTGTTTTCTTTTGTTTAATTTATAAACTATGTGCTTTGACAGGATTCTTCGACAAATGAAGCATATTTTCGGCAAAACATTGGCGGAACAAATCAACAGAATACCCAGCAAATTGATGAGAAAATCAAACGATGATATCATTGGGCACACTGATGAAATATTCATCGAAAAAGAGCCGACGATCTGTTTCCAATTTACATCGTTTGAATCAGTTTCAAATAGTCTGCCGGCGGAAATAAATGCTGAATATCACATTGGCAAAGAGCTGGGCAACGGAGCATATGATGTTGCGAATTTCATTCAAAATCGACGAACGTGCGCTAAAATTCTCACACAATACCAATCAAAATGTCATCAACACAACGATGAAAGAGGTGGACATTTTGAAGCGGCTGAAACCAGATATTCCGTATGGCTGCATATTGAGCTGAGCTATTTACAAATAGCTGGCTATTTGGTACATTTTGGTTTTGTGACTATCAAACCATGTAAATTCATGTGAGATGATAAATTTATGACAAAAATTCATGAAAAGGATGGAAAAAGGTGTCCCAAATTTATCATCTCACATGAATTTGCATGGCTCGATAGTCACAAAATCAAAATGTACCAAACAGCCAGCTATTTGTAAATAATAAGTTTTGTCTCATTTTGCCCCGAATATATCCATGTATTTTAAATGTCAACTCAAAACTACTCATAACACTCAGCCGAATAGATGTAGATGTGACAGTTGTCTGTATAATTTGTGCTCATTACACTGAACTAAATGGCACCGAGTAACACCGAATAGGTCCGAGTGTTTGTTAATTTTGAGTTTGTGCCTAAATCTTAGAGTTTCACCCATTTAGCTACTAATGTACTCGTACATCATATACCAAGCTTCTCCACTTGTTTTTTTTTTCTGTAAAAAAAGGAATACATGATTTGAATTGAATCAAATCGATGTCGATTATATTCTGTTTAAAGTAATTTAAAATGCGACTGAAGTTATTTAGTAGCTATTTAAAATTTGAATCGCTGATTATTGGATTGGATCTATTTTGCCGATACCGCTTCAACAATGTTCTAATCATCCCAAATTATAATTCCGTGGAAATAATTCAAACATTTAAATCGTAAACATTTCAATAGAAATCATATGTCAACATGATAGCTGCGCCTAGAATTTCGACAATACACCAATTTGACTGTTTATACACATTGTTGATGCCGTTTATGACCTGTGGGCATTCGTTGATAACAAAATGAACTCGAAATAAATGGAAAAAATTGAGATATTCACTTTTCGGGTGTCAAGCCACTGGTTTCATGACTGTTTGATTCTTATCGACAGTGTTGATTCGATGCCAATACTGTTGAGGGCAAATCACTCAAGTATACTTGCGAATGCTAATGAAAATATGTACCATTCAATGACTCTTTCACACAAATGTGATCAAATTGCATTTCTTTCTCATAAATCATAAAAGAGAAGTACAAATTTTTTCTTCACAACTTTTGTGTCGGAAAAATTTCGAATCGAAAACTGATTATGGCCAATAAAAGTGTTAACTCAGGTGTTAATTCAATTATGAACAATGAACATTAGGTTTCTATTCCAAAAAAAGCCTTTTTATCGCATTCTAATCAACAATTGCATTCAAGTACTTTGTTTGGAGTGTATTTGAAGAGTATTTATACGGCAGCCGAATGGAATGCCACAACAGTCTTGCATAATTCGTGACACATTCAAAATTGACTGAGTTTAACCGTGAAATTGTCGGTATGGTTGAAAATATTAGTCAATCGAAAAGTGTTTTGAAGCTTTCAACGATTTAAAATAAATCAAATTTTTAATGAATTCTCAAATTTCTTCTAATTTTTATTCAGTCAAAATGTTGCGAGTTTCGATCTTAATGGCTATTGCAGTCGTTCCCTTTGTCGTTTCGTATCACCTGAACCAAAATGCTGAACACGGAAAGGAAAACGTGAGTTTTTTTTTTTAAATTGAATTCAATTGCTTCTTAATTCAAGTCGTATGAGATACCAACCTCTGTATACGACTTGTATAGAGTTCAATCCAATCTATTCCAATCAAACTGTCCTGTAGGTGTCATTCCGGCTTTACAATGGACAAAAAGAATTCGCCGTGTCTCTACTGAAAACAATGAAACGGATTTCACCTGAATCAAATCACATCTTTTCGCCGCACAGCACATATCGTGCTCTTTTGCTGGCGTACTTCGGAGCGGAAGGTGATACCAAAGTGTCTTTAGAACGTGCATTGCATTTGAATTGGGCCGCAGACAAATCTGACGTTAACAATGCCTACAAGGCTGAGTTGAAAGCCAGAGCTGAACGTGCTTTTGGACCCAACATGAAATTCAATTCAGCTGACAAGATTTTTGTGACATATCAAGCCGAATTAAAGTAAGTTTTAGAGTTTTTTTTCTAAATTAATTTAATTGACTCAAGTTTGGTCGTAAAATTCAAGCTCATTCAGTGCTCTTGATTTTTTCACTCTGGACGCCATTTATTCACACTTTTTTCCTTCACATTCTTATCCTTCCGCAGACCTCAAATAACTGGCTCATTGGTAAAATCCATCGAAAAAATGGACTTCAGCGATGTGGGCAGCCGACGAGAGGAGATCAATTCGTTTGTGAAAAAAGTGACGGAAAATCAAATCGTAGAAATTCTTTCGCCTGGCTCACTAACGTTAAGTACAAATTTGGTATTAGTCAACGCTGCCTTTTTCCATGGACTTTGGGCCACTGAATTCCATCACGAGCACACTAGAATGAAAACTTTCTATAGCACAAAACCCGCTGAAGTCGAAATGATGCATGTAACGAGCAATTTCAGTTATGGTAAGTTAAATCAAGCAAATCAACCCAATTCAAAGCACTAAATTTCATTGTGTACCCAGGTGTACTCCACAATGTGAACGCAGCTTACTTGGAAATGCCATACGACGGAGAAGATTCAGCCATTTCCATGTTTATTTATTTGCCATTGGAAAATACACCAAACGCTGTCGACGATTTGGTGAACAAGTTCACCGTTGAAACTATGTATGAAGCATTGAGCCGAAAACAGGTTGAATCAGTTGAAGTCGAATTTCCAAAAATCTCATTGGATAGCACTTACCCATTAGGAGGTGTAAGTTGGCTAACCTTAGATTAAATGTTCAATATTCAAATCTCACTGAAAAAACAGCATAAACAAGAATTTAATTCAATTGCTTCTCCTCCAAACAGATTCTACAAGAGATGGGCATCAACGAATTGTTCGGTGTGGCTTCAAATTTAACCGGATTTGCAGACAACATACGATTACACTTCGATGATGCTGTTCACAAGGCCAAAATTGAAATCAACGAACACGGCACGTCAGCAGCAGCTGCCACAGCGACCACTAATCGACATGGTTACATCCTATTCTATTGCAATCATCCATTCATGTTCATGATTAACGATCGCATTTCCAATGAAGTTTTATTTACTGGCATTTACCGTGGACCTAATCACAATTAAATTGGCTAAATATATTTCGAAGATGATTGAAATCGATCGACTTCCACCCATTTTTTTGTGTTTTTTTCTTCTTCTGATTCCAAAAACTTCAAAGCCACGGTCCAAAAAGTAACTTTTGTTAAACAAACTAGAGTAATAAGGTAAGGCAGTATAAAAAAAATCTATCGATTTTCAATGAAAACGAAAAAGAGTTAAAAATCGAGAAGTTAAAGAACTGAGAATTATATGAATGACCAAATTCAATGTTCTTAAAGAACTTTCCTTCTGAAAAGTAGTGAAAATGTCTTAAGTTGAGATTCTAAACACTTCGCTCTAATTAGAAATTCTAGGAAAACACTCCGTCATATCATCAAAGCAGGAACAATTCCATTATTCCAGGAACTGTGATTAATCTTTGAAGTGTCAAGTCTAAATGAAATATAGTAAAAATGTCATTCGTGATAAAAAAAAATAGTTGATACTTTAACTTTCTATTTCAATGTCTCAAAAATGTTTGCGTTCTTCATAGCAACTCATCGATGAGTTGTGAAAAAAACTGTCGCTTGCTACGTTCTGTGTACGTTTCATAAGCACGTGGCGTCGCGCACATCTCTCCTTGTATATTTCAAAATAAATCAGATATGAGGTGAGCACGTTCAGTTCACACCGTTTGAATGTACGATGTACGTACGCACATGTGTCACAGCAACCCTGTGTGTGAACCAGTAGAACAACAGTAAAATCAGTGTGTGCGTCTTATATTGGAAATAGCGAAGTATAGATAGAGAGAGCGCATACATAGCGTTCACGTCGATGTATATTCAAATGGCTTAAAATAACGTGCGTGCTCATCTCATGTCTGCTTTGATGCTGTGTGAATGCCGACGTGAACGCTGTGAAATATACAACGAGAGACGAGCGCGACGCCTTGTGTGTAAGAACGTACACAAAACGTAGCAAGCGACCGTATTTTTTCACTAAAGTTATTGAAGCTTTTGACTTGAAAATGTTTCGAAATAGCTAAAACGATTGTAAATAATCAAAAAATTAATCATAGAGTTCAAATAAATGACTCGAAAAGTTCTCTCCGTTCTTGGAATTCAAATTAAAATTTTCCATTTGATTTGATTAGAACAGAAACGATCAATCGAGAAAAAAAACCAACTCAAATGAAATAAAATAAGCTCTTTTTCAAAGTCGTCTCGTATTTGTTTATCATTTTCAAAAGTGTTTTTAGGCTAAATCACTTCATACTAAGGACTTTCGAGCGATTTCATCTAAACAGCGCAATAAAAATATTATTTTTCGTTTAATTTTAGCAAATTTCTCCGTTTTACCATTGTTTGGTCGGATCGAATTTCAACGACCTTCATATTAGAATGCCATTGGCCCAAGAAGTTGATTAAGAATCAATTCGGAATACAATGAAAATATTCGTCAAAGCGTTACAGATAAAGTGAATACGTTGAAATGATAGAAACAAATCAATTGGCAAAAAAAATCAATTCACATTGTTCAGTTGTTGTTTTGCGTCGGAATAATTGATTTTATCATCAACAGTGATTGCGACTCGGCTGCTCTCAAGTACTTTCTTCGTTGTGTGTCCATTTTATGGGAGCTTCATGAAGCTATTTATATCGTGGCGAAATCAGTGCCAAATCAGTCTTATTAACCAAGAGTAAGGTGTCATAGGCAAATTGTTCGCTTATCAAAAGGTAGAGAATTATAAACCAATAAATTAGCAAACCAGTGAATTCTTGACGATATAACAAAAGACTATCTGTTCGAAATTTTGCTAAAAACTAATAAAATTGTTAATTATTATAACATTGATTGAGTATTACAAACTTTGTGAGCAGAAAACTAATAATATTGACTAGAAAATTGAACGAATGAAACATTGGTACCCAATGAAACTTTTGTTTAAATCAAAATTTGCGATTTGTTTTTGAAGTGATTCGAGATTGTATTTATTGTATGCTGAATTGCCTAAACCCTATACTGCACCAAATTTTTTTCCCAGAGCTGGGTGTACTGTTTGGTGGTTGATTTTGAGCCATAGATAGCAAAAAAATATTCAAAATGATGGATTTCTTATGATTGAATGAACCCACATTAACTAAACAACCATACTACGTAGACAAATAGTGCTAAAGACAAGAATACCGAGAACACATTGACCAAAAAAATTTGCCTTTGGAGCAATGTGATCCGACGTAAGGTTTATGTTATACAGGCGTTCAAATATTGCTCGTTTAAGGGCGGTTGTATGCTCTAGAGGGTTAAATTTAAGTATAGCACTGACATAATTTCTTATATTTACATATTAACTGCTAAATAAACTGATATTTTCATCAGAACGTAGACATGCCATTTAGATTTCGCATGAAAATAAGGAAATTTTCCTATCCTATATATAATAATATATACAATATGACCTACAGAAAAACATAAGCTACGATTTTGCTTCGCATTGCATTTCATTTTGTGTTAAAATATCGAATTTAGTTCAAATTTCCAAGTGAATCCAAAATATTGACAAAAGTTTCATTACAAAAATTGGATTTTTAACAAAAATTGGATAATTATAAGATTGAAAATGGTCAATTTTACACGAATGAAATCGATGTTTAACTTACGTTTCAAGTGAAACGTAATGGAAAACATTCGACTATAAGTCAATTGATTCATTGTAAATCAATTTGTTTTCTCAATCCCATCAATCATTTTCCATGACTTATACACACCTCAATTATACATTTTTCTAAAGCCGATCCATTAACAAAGCGCGTGATAATATACGATTTCAGTTGATGAATGGCGTGATTTTGAATTGATTTCGGCCACTTCAACTGAAACGAGATAACAGCCTAATCAGTTTATCTGCAAATAAAGCCCATTTGAAACCATTGTTTGATTTTTGAGGAGCTTTCGAATGGCATTTGAAGTGCTGCACTTCAATAAATGAAAGACAGTCTTGAAGGTCAGAAAGCTTTTTCTTATCACTCTTTTTTCTCTAAAATACTTGCTGCGAATTACGAAAAATACAATTGAATGTCCGAGAATGAAAACGCAACTTCTATTCACAACACATA